AGATAAACCATGAATCACAGCATAGCTTTAATCATGTTTGCATTCCAAAGTTCGAATGAATTTGAGAAAACTTTAGCGAACTCGTTCTCTGATACCTTGAATTCAAAACCAACCACGTGAATCAATCGTAAAAGATTTGGACGAAAGCTTGTGATATCGTGTAATTCTTTGCTAATCAAGACAATATTCAAATGAATCCTCAAATAATCTTCACCAAGATCATAAATCAATTTTCAACATGGCAATTTGTATTATAAGCAACATCTTCTTCGAACTCAATATGAACCTCCAAATTCAACATCTCGTTCTATGGACAGTCTCAGCATAAAAAACCGCGGCCTTTGAGAAAACAATTAGAAGTCGAAAACACTCTAAATCAAGAAAATGACTTATGAAAAATTGATAATCTCCAAGGTCTTTACAATTTCCTTCGATTCTTAAAAAGGAATTGTTGATGACATCGCTCATGACAATGTACAAAAATAGTCGTCTCGGGATCTTAAAAATTGAGGACATTACGACCCTTGAAAGGCAGACCACAATTATCTGAAATTAGGTCAGAAACAAAAGGTGACCTCTAAAATATTCGAATTTCCGATGATCTTTCGCACATAATCAGCTCTTGACTTGTGAAGATAAATCGGAGATGACGTCAAGGAGAGTCATATGCAAACAGAACCGCTCAAGAATATCGATTAATGAAGAATGTTACAATCGTTTGAACTTGATACATAAAAGGCTGACTTTTGCAATTGATTCTTAGTCACCTGAACCATTGAATGAGCAAACTCATGATGCGAGGCTTGAAATTTGGCACAAACATCTTTGATAACACATGAAGGACCATAAAGACCATTTGAAACTTTGAAAACTCATTTTCTTTTGAGAAATGCAAAACCCTAATTGCTGATTTACTGCCTCGGAAGAGAATTTGTCTGATCGATTTCTGAGCCAACTTGAATATCCGAGAAACCCTAGGATTGTATCTTGAGTGAAAAATGGGAGGGCAAATTTTGGGGTACAACAGACGGCACATTCAACATTTGAGGTGGAAACATGGCCAAATCAATTTATGGAGAAGATATTATAGTTCATAAAATTGATGGATCTTGAAAGAAAATCAAACAAGGAAACATCGAAGGCGGGCCTGGTCGTAGAATTATGTGGTACAAGATCTTTTAAGATATTTTAGATTGTAATCGGTCCGCTTTTTTGTATGTATTAATTTTGATACGATTTAATACATATTAGTTTTATGGCATGGTTTTTGTTTACATTGCTTGAGCATGTTTTCAAAGTTTTTGCTTTTTCATTGGTTCAGAGAAATAATCTGAATGGTATCTTCGAAGTCACTGTAATGGTGTATTCAGAAACGTGCTTTCGAACTCGAGTTTTACAAATTAAAGTTTATAAAAACTGGTTCAGAGAAATATTCGGAATGACGTCTTCGAAGTCACCTCCTATGGTGTATTCGAAAACGTGCTTCTGAACTCATTTTTTACAAATTAAACGTAAGATAGATTCGGATAGGAACTTCTGAAACCTTACCTGACACATATAAAACTTTTGAGGTCCAAAGTGATCCAATACTTATATAAATAGGGTGTGCCTCAATCTTAATTTCGTGCACCAAAACAATAAAATCAGAGAAAATAAGTTCATATCCTCAACTTGCATTTGTGTATTTCAATGGCGAGAAATTGCTTCCGTTTAGGATCACATGGGAAACTTCTCTCGTGGAATTGATATCCAAGATGAATACTCTACTACGCTTTCTAGAAAATTAGAGTTGTAAAGTTCGAGTATCAGTCACCTTTTCTTGACAGCGAAGGTAAGGTCCATTTCACCTACCTTGAACTGAAGACGGATGAAGATTTAAAGGTGATGTGGAGTATTTTTCTCTGTTATGAATCAAAGGGTCTGATTGAAGTGGATGCAAAGATTCAAAGATCCGTTGAGGACATAATAATTATGTTGCAACGTCTAGATAAAATTATTATGTAATGTTGAGTTTATTTTCATGAATGTTTATGTAATGAATATTTTTATGTAATGAAATGTTGATTTTGGTGTTAGTTTAATGTTAATTTTGATGTTGGTTTGTCAAGAGTGGTGTTGTTATATGAAGCAAATATAGTTCGGAAATACATTTCCAAACTAACCCCTTTGATAATTCGGAATTGCCTTTCTGAATTTTTGTGTGTTAAAAATAGTTTTTGGTGTGTTCGGAGATGCATCTCCGAAAACAGAGGGAATTTTGGGAAATTCGTCAAGGCCCTCATAGATTTTGCTAACAAGATTGCCACTGAAGCATATACTAAAGGCAATTTCTCATTGCACCCTTACATATTGGGACGCATCCTTGAAACTCCAAAAATGCATCTGAATGAATTCGTAGATACATCTCTGAACGCACGCTTCATAAAACAAGCAGCAAATTGGTTCGGATATACATCTCTGAATTCACCCTGGGTGAATTCGAAGATGCATATCCAAAAACACTCTTGAATCCATTTACTATGCATTTTCATTAAAATTGGCGCAGTTTCCGGAGACTGGAGACTCTTTGTCGATTTTAATCAATATTAGAGTCATAGAAATTGTGTCCTCGCGTTATGGCTCTTGCGTTTCTATATTTCTGGCCTTTACGCAACCTAACGTAAAAAAATCGATTTTTAGAAAAATCGACTATGAATAGAAATTCTACCGTGTCAACTCATGAGGAAAATATCAGGGATCAAAATTCCTTATTTTTGAACAAAATACAGAACACCACCCTAAATTCCCTATTTTTTATTTTATTTAATTTATTTTCCGTTTTCATATTTTCAAAAAAAAATTAAAAAAATTTGTAGACACTTAATTTAATTTTATTTGATTTTTAATTTTATTTTCAATTTTTTAGAATTTTATTTTAATTGTTTTTTATTTTTCAATTGTTTTTCTCAATAGAAAAAATTGTTGATATTTACACGCTTGTTACATTGCTTATGCATGACTATCAGGTGTGGCTATCCAAATACATCGAATACTAAGTTTAAAAAAATATAATAAAGAACTTTTCGCATATCCCCGAACATACATTTTTTCGTAAAAGATAAAGTTTATTCGAATACTTCGGATTTAAGTATTTTTTTAGAAAAATAGTGCGTTTAGAAAAAGAGTATTTTTGAAATTTTGCTGGAGGTCTAAGAAAAAGTATAAGGGTGCAATTAGTAATTGTCTATAGTGGATATATTTTATATCCATGTTGGGCATCTTAGAAGTTAGTAGAATTGTAGAATATAGCATATTCAACACTTTTGTGTTATAAGTTTATGGTTTTTCTGAAATCACGCAGGTACTTTTCAAATTAAACTGCAACATAGTTCTACTTGATTTGTATATTTTTGGGAGAAACATTTTCCAATAAATATTTATTGAAAGCTAAAGTCTAAAAGTATGTTACTAGATTTTATGTCTTAGATAGTTATGAAAATTTCCTCCATGTGGCATGTACAGGTTCTCAATGCTAGTGAAGCAAACATCATAAGTACCAGAAAAGAGGAATCATATATATTGTGAAGTTTAGAATGAATACACAAGTAGTTTTTGAATACAACAAAAAAGATTTGACTGTACAAGTTCTACAGTACAGATCCTTTGGGGTTTTACAGAGACAATCCAGAATCGTCATCCTCGTCAAGGGAGGAAGCATAGATAAAATAGAGAGCCCAAATAAGACCGAAGACACCAAACAAGATCCAACCAAGAAGATTATTGCTAAGACCAAAGGGAAGTCCAGTTCCTTCAGTGCTCATTCTCTCATCTACCAAAGCCATGGCTGCTGGGCTTGACAAGGTTGCAGCAGAGATAGCTGCTATCAAGGATGCTCCCATTCCTATGCTTGAGCTGCTTTCTTGCACATCAGGCTTTCCTTCAATGGAACACCTCACTCTTCCAACCTTAGCCATTGATGGCAATCCTATACAATTATTTTTGGAATAAACAGTTTGATTCACTAGGAATGTTAATTAATAGAGGATAAATAAACTTACCAATAACGGTCTGGAATGAGACTCCAAAAGGTTGCTTGTGCACAAGACCTGTGCGGATGATTGAAGATGTTGAGGTGCCAGCAATAATGGTTGCCATTTTTCTTTAATATCGATTCAGCTTTCCAAGTATGGGTAGCCAACTTCTCTCCACACTAGTTTATTTCTTACAAATGGGAAAGTGTGTCGGTCTATTTACCACACACCGTGGTGGACGATAGATTGAAAAATGAAAACCCGTTTATAGATATCCATATCTACAGATATCCAATTAAGTTTAACCACGTGTCATACGATCAGTTTGGTTTGCTGCCCAACACTTCCTTGCACAACCATTGCTTCTCTATCACTCCTGAATCCCCAACCATAACTAGAAGACATTAAATAGTAAATTCCACGGATGAGGTGTCCTCTCTAGTCACTATTATAAGTAAACTTGGTTCGATAATTAATTTTACATGGTAAATTGGTTTGAAATTCTGTGAAAATAATATGATGGTAACAGTATTTCCTACATAAATTACATTAAAAAATGTATTCCTAAAAGGATAAACCAGCACCAAGCATCATTGACTCAACAATTGAAATGAAAGCAGTAATTTCAATAATTATGTAAATCTGTCCTCCAGAGTAAAACATATCTTCACTTCTAGTTTGCACGAAATTGACGAACTAATGGTAAACTATGGTGGCACAACCTGTAATAAAGCATTGGAATACATTATTTACACAACAAATGGCATCTCCAAACAGCTAACATGTCTATGGCAAGTCTTATTTTATCTTTATATCACTACAAATAACTAATTTTCTAAAAGAATACATGTAAGAATTCTGTGAGCTACAGAGGGCTTTACAAGAAGAATTTCCAAGAACAAGAAAGAATCGACTGAAGCAGGTCCATAAATGTGCCAGTAGCAAACTAGTCAATCAACACCTGCCAGGTAGAATCATTTTAGATGTTGGCTACGCCTGAATATTGCAACGTTGCAAAAGAGGGAGGTCAAAATTGATAAATTTGGACCAATAACTCTTGTATCTTGCCAAACCAATGTCCATCCATGGCTTCCTAATCCCATCAAAGTGTATAACAGCAGCCTGTTCAATCTTATTTGTGTCAATGTCCAAGTCATAACCAAGGCCAAGAATGTGCCACCGTCTGTCCAAAACCATAATTTTGTTATAGAAGGTGAGCCAGCCTATTGGCAGACTGCCCGTGCTAAACAATCGCATGTTGGAACCCTGCAATTAATTACCCAGAGAAAATCACATCAGATTATCATTGCATCGGAACTTTATAAATAAATACATTTTTGCTCCATCTTATGCAATTTAAACAATAACTTTGACACATTCCTCATTAGAATCAAGCACCACACATAGAAATAAAAAAACATAGTGTTGGAAAACAAATCTAAGGGATTGTTGTTCGGTTTCAGAGATTCTTTTTCTATTTTCATTACTAAACCAATACAAGGAACAGAGAGATTTTGGGGAGCGGTGCAAAATAAAGCTATAAAAGAATTGTTTTAATTCTAAATTACTAAACCAATACAAGGAACAACCAAGAATTTTTGGGGAGCAGTGTAAAATTAAGCAATAAAAGAATTGTTTTAATTCTAAATTACTAAACCAATACAAGGAGCAACCGAGAGATTTTGGAGAGGGGTGTAAAATAGATAGACCAAACAAAGATAGTAACTAGAAGCATGTAACAAAATATATATTTTTGTAAGCAAACCTTTTGCAAATAATTGTGATAGACACCAGTTAAATTATGCCTCCTCCACTGCTGCAAATCAAACAAGTTCATCCCGAACGCCCATGTACAAGCATTGACATCAAACCTCTTTGCAATGTATGGATTTGAGAAGTTTATGAACATATCCATCCTGCGAAATGAAGTTTCACCTTCCTGGCAAGTCCCAACTCCTGCTATTACTTTTTCATTCATGTTAATATTCCATAGCGTGCTGAGATCTTGTTGCACCACCACATCATGATCAAACAGCAAAATCTTATTTAGAGTGGGGAAGACATCTGGCAGGTAGAAACGGAGGTAGTTCAATTCAGAAGTATATCTCGGATCGCTGGCATTTTGTTTCTTGAATGTATTGTACTTGGACAACCAATCAAAATTGTCTATGTTCTGTATGTGGACGGCAGCTTTCCCAGGAGGGTTTAATAAGAACCACATTGAGATTGAAGGAAAGTTGAGTGAATTCGTCACTATGTGAAAAACCAGTTTTTCCTGTTCCTGCAATTTAAAAGTCAGTTGTCAAGTTTTATTGCCATTATATTATACAAACTTTATACTTCTAAGGAGTTTTTTTTTTAATCCTAAGGAGAGAGATATCATATAGCTTTCCTATCTCATTGTGTTTTATGTACTGGCTAAAACTTAGACACTTCTATAAATTGCTAAGACGACAAACAATGTAGAAGAGTTCATCCTCACTGGAAAAATACTTTTTCTTCATTATTTAACAGTGTATGTGCTGTTATCAGAAACAAAAAATAACAATAGTTACAAAACAGTTCTTTAAGAGCAATAGAGAAATACTCGTATTAGGTGGTTTCAAATATATACAAATTTAACGAAATTCGCTATATTTAAAGATGGTATTCTTAAAATACCTTAAATTAATACAAGGAACAAATTCCTATGAATTACACTTTTGAGAATGCATTAATTGCGCTTCACTAGTCATAAAATACCTTAAATTAATACAAGGAACAAATTCCTATGGAAAACACTTTTGAGAATGCATTAGAAGATTAATTGAGCTTCACTAATCATAAAATACCTTAAATTAATACAAGGAACAAATTCCTATGAAACACTTTTGAGAATGCATTAGAAGATTAATTGCGCTTAACTAAATTTCTTAATGATTGTGAGGTTAGGTACTTTTACTTGTAATTGAAAAAACTATTACATTCCAACAGAAATATATTAAAGATCTTTTGAAAGAGGCTGGTAAGACATCGCAAGTACATCGATCGATCCAAAGAAAAAAATTGAAGAACACTGAAGAAGATATTGTAGTAGATAAGGAAATGTATCAAAGATTAATCGACAAACTTATATACTTATCGTACACTAGACTTGATATTGCCTTTTCAGTAAGCTTAATCAGTCAGTTAATACACAGCTGAAAAAAGACTCATCTGCACTCTGAAATATGTAATGTTTGAAAGAAATTTCAGGTAGAGGAATTCTGTTCAAACAAAATGAAAGTGTGGGCTTCAAATATATGTATATTGGTGCTGACTATACGGAGTCAACTACAGAATATTACATTTTTCTGAGTGAGAAACCTTGTGATTCGGAAGAGTAAAAAACAAAGTGTGATATCAAGATCTAGTGTTGAAGCAAAGCTCATGAATGTCAAAAGGAATAAGTGAAATATTATGGTTGAAAATCATCTTGGAAGACTTGAGGATAAAGGGGATGAACCAATGAGACTTTATTGTAATAAAAAATATACTATTTGCATTCAATGTAGCATGATAGAACGAAACATGTTGAAGTTGACAAGTACTTCATCAAAGAAGAAAATGATCTAATTTGCACTCCATATATCTCTTTCCAAAACAACCTTGCATATCTTCTAATTAAGAAGTAATTTGTATTCAGTCCATTAGTTCAGCAGTCAGTAAGATGTCGCTTTCTAGGTTGGCTCTTCTTTCCGAGCTTGGAGAAGGCTTAGTCAGTAAGACTAGATACATTATAAGCAAATTTGGTACTAGATATGAGAATTAATGTATGTAGTCCATATATGGACTAGATACAATAATAGTCAAATGTACACTACCAAAAAAAAGTCAAATTTGCTTATAATTTGTTAGAGAGGGAGTAGGCCATAAAAAAATCATTTAACTCTATCATGCCGACGTAGATAAGTAAATAGTACATATGAGTAACTTTTTTATTAATATTATTTTTTATTATATTTTATTTTTTATTATATTTTATACTGTTATGTTATTAATTAACCTTTTTTGATAATTTAAACTTATTAATCTACATTATTTATTTTTTGCATATTTAAATATATTATTATTAACTAGCTCTGAAATATGATATTTTATATGGTCAGATTTTATAAAATATCAAATTGAATATCAAAATAAAGCTTAACTATCTTGGAGAACTTACAAAAAAAAAAGCTAAAAACAATTTATGAACAATGACATAAGCTCAAAATAGTCTCACAAAATTTATGTCACTAGATTAGCTCAAATAAGTCAATCCAAATAGACCCTAAGTATCATTGGTCTTTTACCTCGTTTATTTACTTAAACATAAATCAGATTACTAATTTAAATATGTTCAAATGAAATAGGTTTTTGAGTAGGTTAATAACAGACCAACAAGACTTTCAAAAAGGTCAGACTCAGACCTAAATATAAACCTATGATATGCTATAGACCGAGCCTAAGCCTTGATTTTTTAAAGATCAGGCTTATGCTTGACAAAGTTCAACTCAGCCCAACCTATTCTCACCTATACTCACTGCCTCATCCTATAATCACCCATTTCAAATGTAAAGAATAAAGTGAAGAAAATAGAAATTGTCCAAAGGAGACACCACTGAGGGACAAACTAGAAAATAACATAATAGCTAAATTGTTATGGTCACTGGTCTAGCATCGCGTTGACACGGTCTTGGACGCGGTAAAACCTAACCTAGGTGAAGACAAAAGCGAAATTGTCCTTGACAAAGTCTCTTCTTAAATTCAGAAGTATTTTTTATAATCATTTTTATTCTAAATCATAATGCCTTCAAATGATCAATGTAGCCGACCCCACTTAGTGGGACAAGGCTTAGTTGTTCTTGTTGTTGTATAATGCCTTTAAATAGGCTTACAAGAAGAATAGTTCTAATTAAACACAACTAACTTTTCCCTAAACTTACTTTCATATAAATTCTATTATGCTAACTTAGGAAAAGTAAATAAATAATAAATCCAAATCAGCATAATTTATCTTAATCAGCAAACTTGGAGGTTCACTTCCCCTCTCGGCATTGAGCGTGTGCTCAAACTCAAATTCGGGATAAG